TAATGAGGCTCAACCTGGACGTGATGCGTGTCACGAACAGCAAGCCTGATCAGCACTCCCCGTCGCCCGACGTCGTGCCTGCTGCTCCTTCTCCCCCTCCACCTCGCCCCTCTCCCATGCCGCCGCCGCCTGCGCCCTCAGCCGTCGCTCTCTTTGCGTCCTCGCACAGGGTCGACCCGCAGGGACGGCGGCGCGTCAGGTGTTTCTCGTGTGCGAGCAAGGCGGCCAGGACCGCCTGGCTAGGCCCCCCGTGCGCGCCGCCCATTCTTGTTCGTGGAGGTTTATACGGGGCGGCCCCAGGGTCAGGAGTGCACATAAGGGGGGGGGGGGGTCACACATAGCTCTCACACCATGTTGTATAATGCGGTCAATCGTATGTGGTATTGTCGCAGATGTGTCAGATTTGGGTCTGAGCAGATTCGAGATCTTGCTAAGCCTTGTGTCGAGGTCCAGATCCGCTTGACTCCCAAGCGGCGGGAATACCTCGACAGGCTGACCAAAGCTTTGAATCCCAAGGCCTAATGTGTGTTGTGACGCTTCGCGTCTGTTCCGATTCCGATTCCGACTCCTCTGGGAAAAGGGGTTACTTCTCCGGGTGAACTACATAATCCTTGTAGATTCCTAGGGATCCTTCGGAAAAAGGGTTAGTTCCCCGGGCGAGACCTCATCGAGGGTCCTCACACTTCTGTCAAAACTGACTTTCGCAAATCGCAATGAGCTGCCCAGAAGGCGCCACAGAGGTGCCCCATCAATCTGACTTCTTTTGCCCGGAGAAGTAACTCTTCTTGGAAATGTTGCTGAACTACATGTGGCGACTTAATTGGTAGCAATTCGTAGCTGGCAGCTCGTCGTTCGGAGTTAGTGGGTAATACGTACGTAGTAGCTGGAATTTAGTTACGAATCGTGGCCCAAAAAGAATTACCGGTATGGTGTTAGAAGCTGGTCGTATGTAGTGGATATTCGTAGTTACTAGCTAGCAGATTGTAGGTAGTAGTTAGTACCTAGTGGTGAGTAGTCAGTACGTAGTAGTCGTAGTAGTAGTAATAGTAGTAGTAGCAGTAGTAGTAATAGTAGTCGTGGTATTAGTAATCGCAGTCGTAGTCGCAGTACTAGTACTAATAGTAGCAGTAGCAATAGTAATGGTAGTAGTAGTAGTAGTAGTAGTGACAGTAGTAGTAGTAATAGAAGTAGTCGTAATGATAACTGTAGTCGTCGTAATAGTGATAGTAGTAGTAGTAGTAGTAGTAGTAGTAGTAGTAGTAGTAGTAGTAGTAGTAGTAGTAGTAATAGTAGTAGTAGTAGTAGTAGTAGTAGTAGTAGAAGTAACAGGAGTGGCTGGTCGTAGTAGTAGGACTAGCAATAGTAGTGTCAGTCGTACTCGTAGCAGTGGAAGAGGTAGTCGTAACAGTAGCAGCATTGAGGGTAGTAGTTGTGGTCGTAGTAATAGTAGTAGCAAAAGTAGTAGTCACAGTGGTAGCCTTTTTAAAAGTCAGCTAGTAGTAGGTAGTTAGTAGCTGGCGGCTGGCACATGGCATTTCGTAGTTAGTAGTGAATACTTGGTCGCTTGCTGCTGGGCGTTGCTTAGCGTAATTAACAATTGGTGCGTAGTAGCTGGTGGTAGTAGTCGTTGTAGTAGCAGCGGTACCAGGGGTAGTACGAGTAGAAGTCTTATGGTCATGCAGATTAGTAGTACTCAGAATGGTGATAGTAGTAGTCGTAGTAGTAGTAATGATACTAATCGTAGTGCTAGAAGTAGCCGTGACAGATAGTAGCAATAGCGGTAGCAGTAGTAGTAGAAGAAGCAGTAGAAATACCCGCAAAAGTAATAGAAATAGTCGCGGCAATAGTTGTAGTCGTACGATTAATAGAATAGGTGGTAGTGGTAGTGGTAGTGGTTGTGGTAGCGGTTGTAGTAGTAGTGGTAGTAGTAGTAGTAGTGGTAGTAGTAATAGTAGTAGTAGTAGTAGTAGTAGTAGTAGTAGTAGTAGTAGTAGTAGTGGAAATGGTAGCACTAGTAGTAGCAGTAGCAGGAGGAGGAGGAAGAGTGGTAGTAGTAGTAGTAGTAGCAGCAGCAGTGCCGTCGTGGTAGAAGCTGTGGTAGTAGCAGTTGTAAAGGTAGTTTCAGCCGTCGTGGTAGTAGCGGGCATAGTAGTAGTGGTGGTAATAGTAGCTGTAGTAGTAGCAGTAGTAGTCGTAGTAGCAGTAGTAGTAGTAGCAGTAGTAGTGGTAGTGGTAGTAGTCAGTAGTAGTAGTAGTAGTAGTAGTAGTAGTCGTAGTAGTAGTAGTAGTAGTAGTAGTAGTAGTAGTAGTAGTAGTAGTAGTAGTAGTAGTAGTAGTAGTAGTAGTAGTAGTAGTAGTAGTAGTAGTAGTAGTAGTAGTAGTAGTAGTGTAGTAGTAGTAGTAGTAGTAGTAGTAGTAGTAGTAGTAGTAGTAGTAGTAGTAGTAGTAGTAGTAGTAGTAGTAGTAGTAGTCGCAGTAGTAGTGGTAGTCGTAGTAGTAGTAGTAGTAGTAGTAGTAGTAGTAGTAGTAGAAGTAGTAGCAGTAGTGGTAGTACTGGTAGTAGTGGTAGTCTCAGTAGTACTAGTCGAAGTAGAAATAGTAATAGTAGCAATAGTAGTTGTAGCATTCGTAGTGGTAGTAGCCGTAGCCGTGGTAGTAGTAGTAGTAGTCGTAGTAGTAGCAGTAGTTGTTTTTGTTGTTGCTGGCATTGTCCCAATAGATTTTGTTGTTCCAGGGGTCGTAGTAGTAGCAGCAGAAGTAGTAGCAGTAGTCATAGCAGCAGTAGTGGTAGTTCTAGCAGTAATAGTAGTCGTGGGGGTAGAAGCAGCAGTAGTAGCAGTAGTGGTAGTAGTAACAGTAGCCGTAGTAGTAGTAGTAGTAGTAGTAGTAGTAGTAGCAGTAGTAATAAGAGAAGTAGTAGTAGTAGTAGTCGTAGTAGTAGTAGCAGTAGTAGTAGTAAAGTAGTAGTAGTAGTAAGTAGTAGTAGTAGTAGTAGTAGTAGTGGTATTCGTAGGAGTAGTAGTAGTAGTAGTAGTAGTAGCAGTAGTAGTAGTAGTAGTAGTAGTAGTAGTAGTAGTAGTGGTGGTAGTAGTAGTAGTAGTAGTAGTAGTAGTGGTAGTACTAGGTGTAGCAATAGCAGTGGTACTAGCAGTAGAACGGGTAGTGGCAGTCGTATTGTTGGTAGTAGTAGTAGTAGTAGTAGTAGTAGTAGTAGTCGTGGAAGCGGGTGTAGTAACCATAGTAGTAGTAGCCGTACAAGTAGTAACCGTTGTTGTATTCTCAGTCGCAGAAGTCGTAGTAGTAGTAGTCGTAATAGTAGTAGTAGTAGTAGTAGTAGTAGCAATAGTACTAGAAGTAGTAGTAACCGTAGTAGTGGTAGTAGTAGTAGTAGTAGTAGTAGTAGTAGTAGCAATAATAAGGGCGGCGGTGGTAGTAGTTGTGAAGGAACCGTTGTAGAAATAGAAGTGGTGATGGTAGTAGTAGTAATAGTAGCAACAACAGTGGTAGTTGTAGCAGTAATAGCGGTACCAGCAGTAATAGTAGTAGTAGTAGTAGTAGTAGTAGTAGTAGTAGTGGTGCTAGTAGCAGCAGTGGTAGTCGTAGTAGTAGTCGGAGTAGTAGTAGTAATAGTAGTCGGAGTAGTAGTAGTAGTAGTAGTAGTAGTAGTAGTCGTAGTAGTAGTCGTAGTAGTAGTCGTAGTTTTAGTAGACGTAGCAGAAGTAGTAATAATTGTAGTAGTAGTGGTAGTAGTAGTAGAAGTAGTAGTAGTAGTAGTAATATTAGCAGTGGTAGTAGTACGAGTTGCAGTAGTAATGACCGTGGTCGTATTAGTAGTAGTCTTAGCAGGACAGCATCAGCACTAGTAGTAGTAGTAGTAGTAGTAGTAGTAGTAGTAGTAGCGGTGGTAGTAGTAGTCGGTAGTAGTGGTAGTGGTAGTGGTGGTAGTAGTAGTAGTAGTAGTAGTAGTAGTAAAAGTAGTACTAGTAGTAGCCGTAGTAGTAGTAGTAGTAGTAGTAGTAGTAGTAGTAGTAGTGGTAGTAGTAGTAGTAGTAAGTAGTAGTAGTAGTAGTTGTAGTAGTAGTAGCAATGATAGTAGTTGTAGTAATAGTAGTAAAGGGTGTGGTGGTGGTAGTAGTAGCCGAACTAAAAGCAGTAGTAGTAATATAGTAGTAGTAGTAGTAGTAGTAGTAGTAAGTAGTCGTAGTAGTAGTAGTAGTAGTAGTAGTAAGTAGTAGTAGTAGTAGTAGTATAGTAGTACTAGTAGTACTAGTAACAGTAGTAGTAGGTAGTAGGTAGTAGTAGTGGTAGTGGTAGTGGTAGTGGTAGTGGTGGTAGTAGTAGTAGTAGTAGTAGTAGTTGTAGTAGTAGTAACAGTAGTAGTAGTAGTAGTAGTAGTAGTAGTAGTAGTAGTAGTAGTAGTAGTAGTAGTAGTAAAAGTAGTACTAGTAGTAGCCGCAGTAGTAGTAGTAGTAGTAGTAGTAGTAGTAGTCGTAGTCGTAGTAGTAGTAGTAGTAGTAGTAGTAGTAGTAGTAGTAGTCGTATTCGTAATAGTTTGTGTTTGGTGCTTGGTAATTGGTGATTGGCGTTTGGTGTGTGGTGTGTGGTGTGCGGTGTTTGGTGTGTGGTGTGCGGTGTGTGGTGTGGTGTGTGGTGTTTGGTGTTTGGTGTTTGGTGATTGGTGTTTGGGGGTTGGGGGTTGGGGGTTGGGGGTTGGTGGTTGGTGTTTGGTGTTTGGTGTTTGGTGTTTGGGGGTTGGTGTTTGGGGTTGGTGTTTGGTGTTTGGTGCTTGGTGTTTTGGGGTTGATGTTTGGTGTTGTGGGGTTGGTGTTCGGTGTTTGGTTTGTGGTGTTTGGTGAAGGCGGTGAAGCCTGTGAGGGTCTCACCCGGAGGAGTAACCGACCCGGCATTTGCCTCATTTCACCGGGAGAAGTAGCCCTTTTCCCAGAGACGAACTTCCCCCCCCCCGAGGCACTCGCGGAGAGGGCGGCGAGCGCAGGCGCCTGGTGCCCGAGGTGTGCAGACCGTGGTCGGTGCACAGCTGCTTCAGCTGCACCACCGTCCTGCCCGGTCGCGCTGGCCGACGCCGCCCCTTCCCGTCTGCCGTCTGCCAAGGCCTGCCTCTTCTCCCCCCTCCTCCTCCTCCTCCTCCTCCTCCTCCTCCTCCTCCTCCTTTTCCTCCTCCTCCTCCTCCTCCTCTTCCTCTCTTCTCTTCTCCTGTTTTCTTCTCCTCCTGTTCTCCTTTTCTCATCGTCTCCTATTCACCTTTCCTTCTCCTCCTCCTGCTCCTCCTCCTCCTCCCTTTTCCATCCTCCTCCTCCTCTTTTTCCTCCTCCTTTTCCTCCTCCTCCTTTTTCCTCCTCCTCCTCCTCCAGCTCCACTCCTCCTTCTCTTCCTTCTCCTCATCCTCGTCCTCGTCGTCACCGTCGCCGTTGTCGTCGCCGTTGTCGTCCTCGTCTTCCTCCTTTTACTCCTCCATTTCCTCCCCCTTTTGTTCCTCCTCCTCCTCCTCCTCTTCCTTCCTCTTCCCACCTCCTCCTCCTCCTCATCCTCGTCCTCGTCCTCGTCCCCTTCCTCCCCCTCATCCTCCTCCTCCTCCTCCTCCTCTTCCTCCTCCGCCTCCTCCGCCTCATCGTCCCTCGTCCCTCTTCACTCCGTTTCCTCCTCCTCCTCCTCCTACTCCTTCTCCATCTTTTCCTCCACCTCCTCCTTCTTCTTATTAGTACGTGTGTAGGTATTATGATTCTTATTCTTCCAACTAGTATCATTAGCATTTTCTTATCGATATTCGTAGTACGATGCTCATGTGTACCATTATTATTCGTCATTCGTATTAGTATTAGTTTTCGTCTTCTTGTTGGTATGTCCCTTCCTCCTCCTCCTCCTCCATCTTTTCTTCTTCCTTCTCCTCCTCCTCCGCATCCTCTTCCTCCCTTTTCCATCCTCCTCCGCCTCTCCCTCCCCCTCCCCCTCCCCCTCCCCCTCCTTTCCTCCTCCTCCTCCTCCTCCTCCTCCTCCTCCTCCTCCCTCCTCCCCTTGTCCTCGTCATCCGTTTCCTCTTCCGCCTCCCTCCTCCTCCTCCTCCTCCTCCCTCCTCCTCCTCCTCCCCCTCCCCCTCCTTCTCCTCCTTCTCCTCCTTCTCCTCCTCCTCCTCCACGTCCTCAAACTCGGCCTCGTGCTCGTCCCCGCCGAGACAAAGTGCACACGTCCGAGCGATACCAAGGCCGAGGGGGGGAAGGGGCGCGAGAGGGAAACAGGAAGAGGGGAAGAGGAGGGATCAGGAGCACCGCGAGGAGCACGCCGGGGGGGGGGGCGAGGAGCCCAGGAGGCCTCCCATAGAGGGTCTCGGCTGCCCCAGCACGCGGCCTCAGAGAGGGCCCGGTATAGCTCAAGGTTGGTTCGTCTTGCCATCCAACAGGCTTCCATGAAGCCGCAGCACCACCCCAAGGTGGCTCCAAGTGGCTCAGGGACGTCCCAGGCAAACCCTGGAGGGGCCCGCTGGCCATCGCTCGGACGTCCATTCCCTGTGTTTTTTTCGGTTTCGTGCGTGGCTGTTTCGCCATATGATCAAGGATGCTCCTGGATGGTCCTCGCCCGAGGAAACATGCACACGTCCAAGCTATGCCAAGCCCGACACCCGTCAGGGAAGTCGAAACGTGTGAGGTTTTCCCTCGGGGTCTCTCGCCTCGTCGCTTCCTGTGGGCCCCTGCGGCCTCGGGATGCTTCCACGGTCGCCCCGAGACTTATACTGCTCCCATCGTACTGAAGGACCACATCCCAGAAGTAATTTCGAGCACTCGGAAAAGTGCCGAAAGAATGTCGAACAAGTGTCGAAACGGGATCGGGCGAGCGTCTCCCAGGGCCCGACACGCGCAGACCCCCGAGTTTCGGTATATTTGGTTTGTGCTCGGCATTCTTCCTGGTGGTCAAGGCTAAAGTAGGTTGGAGCATCATAACCCGAGACTCCTCGCCCCGACGCGGCGACGGGCCCAGATGCCACGCCTGCAGGCCAAAGAGGGCACAAAGACAGCCCAAGAGGGCACAAGGCAGCCAAGACAGGCCCCCGACGGCCCAGTTAGAATGGAGCTTCAGGAGCTGCTCAAGAGGCCCCAAACTGGGATAGAGTGGGCCGAAAATATTGCTCGAACACACACCGTTTGGGGCCCACGCTCGCTAACATTTTGCAAACAGGAATTCGAATCGCTTCGGGCCCGCCGTCGCCGTCTTAGTTTGGCACCCAATAGGTATGAGAAAACTTTGATCTCCAAGGGGGGGCCAGGGACCCTAGCGGGGCAATGAACCACCAAAAGGCCCGCGGGAATGTGTACGAATGGCGCGTTGTTGCTCTGGTCATCGGAAATCGAACTTGGCGCTGCCTGGCGCTGACACGCGGCTTCGCCCAGAGGACTCCGACGCCTCCAGAGGCAGGAGGGGGAAGGACGAGGACGGGGTGATGGAGCCAGGGGCCCTCCTCCCTCCCTCCTCCTCCACCCCCTCCCCCCTCCTCTACCGCCTTCAGGCTGGCGCGTGTAGCGGTGCGACATGTTGTCGGCGTGCGGTACCCGGTCACGCGAGGGCCGAACGCTGAAAAGGCGCGCAGCCCGATGTACATCCAGGTGCCGAGGAGAAAACTCAGGAGAACTGGAGGGCGAGTGAGGAGAGGAGGAGCGGAGGCGGAGGAAGAGGAAGGTGGAGGTGGAGAAGTCTGAGGAGGAGCGCAGCATCAGGATGCGGAGCTTTTCTCCGCGATGGAGTGCGGAGGCAGCGATGCGGCGATGCGGGGGTCCCCCGCTTGAGTGCTGTCTTTGTCGCGTCTCAAAAAAAGGACCTGCCTACGAATGGATGGCTGGCGCCCACTGGTAGGCAGCTCCACGTGCGAATATAAATCGCACGAGCGCTTCACTCCGCCAGCCCCTACTTGCCGGGGGTGAAGAGGCGTGTGAGACATTTGGGGTCCAAAATCGCGTTGGAGGGGGGGACCCTGGGGGATGGGCCAGAGCCCTTCAACGCACCTTCCGGGCCCTCAGAGCGTCCAAATCCACCCTCCATGGCCTCCAAGACGCCCAAAGTTGCCTTCAAAGACGACCAAGCAAGGGCTCGAACACGCAGGAGAAGCTTCAAAGACACCCCTATTGCCTCAAGACACCCCAAGAGGCTCCCAAGAGGGCTTCAAGAGGAACCCCAAGAAAATTTCAAGAGGTATTAGACTTTTTGCCCGTGGGCCCCTGCGGCCTCGGGATGCTTCCACGGTCGCCCCGAGACTTATGCTGCTCCCATCGTACTGAAGGACCACATCCCAGAAGTAATTTCGAGCACCCGGAAAAGTGCCGAAAGAATGTCGAACAAGTGTCGAAACGGGGTCGGGCGAGCGTCTCCCAGGGCCCGACACGCGCAGACCCCCGAGTTTCGGTATATTTGGTTTGTGCTCGGCATTCTTCCTGGTGGTCAAGGCTAAAGTAGGTTGGAGCATCATAACCCGAGACTCCTCGCCCCGACGCGGCGACGGGCCCAGATGCCACGCCTGCAGGCCAAAGAGGGCACAAAGACAGCCCAAGAGGGCACAAGGCAGCCAAGACAGGCCCCCGACGGCCCAGTTAGAATGGAGCTTCAGGAGCTGCTCAAGAGGCCCCAAACTGGGATAGAGTGGGCCGAAAATATTGCTCGAACACACACCGTTTGAGGCCCACGCTCGCTAACATTTTGCAAACAGGAATTCGAATCGCTTTGGGCCCGCCGTCGCCGTCTTAGTTTGGCACCCAATAGATATGAGAAAACTTTGATCTCCAAGGGGGGGCCAGGGACCCTAGCGGGGCAATGAACCACCAAAAGGCCCGCGGGAATGTGTACGAATGGCGCGTTGTTGCTCTGGTCATCGGAAATCGAACTTGGCGCTGTCTGGCGCTGACACGCGGCTTCGCCCAGAGGACTCCGACGCCTCCAGAGGCAGGAGAGGGAAGGACGAGGACGGGGTGATGGAGCCAGGGGCCCTCCTCCCTCCCACCTCCTCCACCCCCTCCACCCTCCTCTACCGCCTTCAGGCTGGCGCGTGTAGCGGTGCGACATGTTGTCGGCGTGCGGTACCCGGTCACGCGAGGGCCGAACGCTGAAAAGGCGCGCAGCCCGATGTACATCCAGGTGCCGAGGAGAAAACTCAGGAGAACTGGAGGGCGAGTGAGGAGAGGAGGAGCGGAGGCGGAGGAAGAGGAAGGTGGAGGTGGAGAAGTCTGAGGAGGAGCGCAGCATCAGGATGCGGAGCTTTTCTCCGCGATGGAGTGCGGAGGCAGCGATGCGGCGATGCGGGGGTCCCCCGCTTGAGTGCTGTCTTTGTCGCGTCTCAAAAAAAGGACCTGCCTACGAATGGATGGCTGGCGCCCACTGGTAGGCAGCTCCACGTGCGAATATAAATCGCACGAGCGCTTCACTCCACCAGCCCCCACTTGCCGGGGGTGAAGAGGCGTGTGAGACATTTGGGGTCCAAAATCGCGTTGGAGGGGGGGACCCTGGGGGATGGGCCAGAGCCCTTCAACGCACCTTCCGGGCCCTCAGAGCGTCCAAATCCACCCTCCATGGCTCAAAGACGACCAAGGAAGGGCTCGAACACGCAGGAGAAGCTTCAAGGACACCCCCATTGCCTCAAGACAGCCCAAGAGGCTCCCAAGAGGGCTTCAAGAGGAACCCCAATAAAATCCCACCAGCCCTGTGGGCGTCGGTGGTTTAGAGCGTTTCCTCTTCCACCCCTCCTTCTTCCCCTTCGGGGAGGGGTTTACCCCTCCCCCTACCCCCTCCCCACTGACTTGGACAGGGGGTTCCGCGGCGCGCTGGAGCGCCCAAGATCGACCCCTGGGAAGGCTAAAATTCGACACCCCTCACGAGGATCGTGGCTCCTGGGGGGGGGGACTCTAATTAAGGAACCCCTCTTCTTTGATCGATTTCCTCCACGATGGCCGCAAGATGCCCCCAGGATGCCCCAAGAGGCCGCAGGATGGCCCCAAGATGACCCCAAGAGGCCCCCCAAGAGGCCCCCAGGAGGCCCCCAAGAGACCCCCAAGAGGCCCCAAGAGAC